GAGAGAGAAAGAGAAAGAGAGAAAGAGAGAGAGGGAGAGAGAGAAAGAGAAAGAGAGAAAGAGAGAGAGGTGGGGAGGAGGGGAGGGGGGAGGAGGCGAGGAAGACGATGGTACACTGCGTGGCTGTTGCCAAGAATCTGGATAATGCAACGAGGATGGCGATAGAGAGGACGGCGCAGAGAGCGGCCGGCGCGGCGGGTAGTGGTCTGATGAAAGGGCGGTTTAAATACTTGCCAAGGTCCGCGTGCCAAAAAAAATAAAATAATAAAAAAGACAGCTTTGAAGTCTACTGCGTTGCCTCCCGCCGGACCCCTCCGGAACCCCCTCCGGGTGACTCAGCTTGTCGCCCGCGGTAAAACGAAATGCAGCCGCGTCTCGTCTCGCAGTATTTGGCCGCAGCAACACTAACGAAGCGAGGCCCCGCGCCAAACGAGGCGCGGCAGGCCCTTCGTACCCTGTTAGTTATTGACTGTCACTTTGCCTGTCAATTCCACCGGGCTCTCGCCGCGAGCGGCGCCTGCTATGTGAGTCATCGAGGAAGGGAGTCCGTTAGGCCGAATTTCGTATTCCTGCCTTGTGTGTCTCTCATTGGAAGTGGTTTTCCCCCCTCACCCCCCCTCCCTCCCGCTCTGTTCTGGGGTCAGGATATAATAGGCCCTTAGCTAGGCAGAGCCTAGTCGAGCAAGTTCTTTGGCACGACTCGCCGTGTCTGGAAGGGCCGGGAAAAATATCCAAATCTCAGACCATTTTAGGGAGGTTTCCGAAAGCTTAACACAACATTTTTGCTCTACAATTATCAGTTCACTCGAGCAGTTCACTCACATGGGGGGGGGGGGGACGCGCAAATGACATTGACATAAGATCGAGCGAAAGATTAGACTGCTAGATGCAGGGCGTGTGTGGTAAGATAATATGTGTTGATGGATTTTAATAGTGGCATGGGGAACCACCAAGGGGCCATCTGGAAAGTGTCTTGTACCCATTTTCCGAAGTTATAACAATCTGTGAATTACTTAAAAGTCTTTTGTCTGCTGCTCACCGACTGTTGCTCTTTACCTCCACCATCAGAGTGAAAAAAATATTAAGAGATAAGGTTAGGCATGAAGTGGACGCTCCGTAGTTTCGTAAAGAAAAGTACACCTCATCATTCCCCGCCCCACCCCACCCCACCTCACCCTACCCCGCCTCGCCTCGCTCCGCCTCCTGGGCCCCTCCGAGGATCAGCGTGTATTCATCGGAGGCGACTTTGTCGTAACAAGACAGTCCAGCACTTCGTTCCAGTACGCTGCCCTGTCTGAAAGCACTGTCGTGTGACTGGCGTCTGGAGTCCAGGGCCCTGGAGAAGGGCCAGGGGCGGGTGGGCAGGCGTGCTGGGCAGACGCACGGACCGGTGA